GCTCAAGGGAAGCCGAGGCCCTTAGAAAACCAAGTAGGCTATATTCAGAGGAAGATAATGGCAAATCACCTCTCAATATATCTTGCTCAAGAAAACTTGCTCAGTGAAATTCGTGGGTTTGCCATAAGTCAAGAGGCTACTTGGGGGGGAATATAATTTACTTTTGAGTGTGCTTAGGTTGCGGGACTTCCTACTAAACACATAGGATTGTGTCAGTCATGTGGATGTTCCATCTTACCTAGGATCACAAATCTAGTACTTTTCTTTCTAAATCCAGTCATTCATTCATTTGTTAAATAAAAAGCACTGATCTGTTTTAGTATCAGGTATCAAACTAGAAACACGGGGTTTTTAGAAACCCCAGAAATATGAGTTCTCAAGTTCACATTCACAATATCAACAATGGAAGTACTTTTAGAAAGGAAGTGAAGAAGAGGAGGGGCTCATTTTTTTTTCTCATATGCTTTTCTCTCCCTGAAGGGATGGGATGGTTGGTCATTCATTTCCAGACCTGCCCCTGCTTCCTTCCCTAGCCTTCTTTTTTTCCAACATTGTGGGGAAAGCTAAGTGGCAGTGGTGGCAATAAGCAAGTGCCTCCCCACCTTCCCTGTTGCACCTGTAGGAAAAGCAAAAAAGCCTGCGGAAAAGAAGGCTGGGGAAACACAATAGTGACAATGGTGACTAAAAGCAAGAGCCATCCCTTGACCACCTACCCACCCACTGTGTCAAAGCAGCCATTAAAAAATAAACCTGCCATCTCCCCTCCCCTCCCTCCCTTCCTATCCCACTTTCCCTCCAAAACTGGGACTCAAGGTGGCTTAGAAAACTAGAACAAATTCAGTTAAAACACTTTGAAAGATGTGAGTGAAAGCATATAAAAATGTATGGTTAAAATGAAACTGAAACTAAACTAGCCATAGAAACAAAAACTTTCAAAGTAAATCCGTAAAGAATAAAAGGAAGGGAGGGGAGTGTAAAACTACACACTATTAAAAGCCCTTGCAGTGAGTACCAGAAAGCCTTTTGGAATAGACTAGAGAGCTTATCACACCACTTAAAAAAAGAGTTCAATTCTAATTTGGACTGCATCCGAATACTATCGCAGGGATTTTGTTGCTGAATCTACTCCCTAATTACAGCTCAGGTCTAGCCCTGTTTCCAGGAGTGCTCCGGTGGGCATTTTTTAAAGTTGGAAAACTCCTGATTTTGAAAAGAAGCAAGCTGAGCACCCCTGGGACCCAAGGATCTGGGCAGCAGATTCGGTAGCAAACTCCCTGTGATAATATCCAGATGCAACCCGAATTATAATTGAATTTCATAGAATCATAGAATCATTTGGGAGGGGTAATTTTTTTTTAAGTGGTGTGATAAGCTCCTAGGTTTCAATTGTTGATAAAAGGACAGAGAAGAGGGAGCCACCCTATTCTCTTTAGGGAAAGAGTTCCAAAGTCTGGGAGCAGGCACCAAGAGGTCTGTCTCACATGTTCACACCAGAAGTGGTTTGAAGGTAGTGATATAGAAAGAAAGGTTTCTCTCATTTCACCACTGGTGCTATCTTTGGACATCTGACAACTTTCATATATTGTATTTATTGGCTGATAAATAAAATTGTATGATATACTGCTTACCAAACTCTCGGTATGCCTTGCTGTTGCTGAGTGCCTTGAAGTCATTTCTGACTTATACAGACTCAAAGGTGAACCTATGGTGGTTTTTTGGGGTGTTTTTTTGGGGGGGGGGGAAGGATTTGTTCAGAGGGGAATTGCCTTTGCCTTTCTCTGGGGATGAGAGTGTGTGACTTGCCAAAGGATACCCAGTAGGTTTTCATGGCTGAGCTGGAAATTGAACCTAATCTTCAGAGTCATAGTCCAATGATCAAACCACTAAACCACACTGGCTCTTAGCTATGTCTTGCTTTCATTATTAATTTAATATCCTGATATGATATGGGAAAACATGTTGGTGTTCTTTTTCAAAAACTTACTTTTCAGATCTTCAAATGAATTATTTATGTAGCATTTGGGGATCTGCAGCAGTAGCAAACCTTATAAGTGATGATTATTATGAGCTCAGTGGATACTAAGGTCAGATATCTTGGAGAACATGTCATATGAATATAATGATCGCAGATGGTGGATGGGTAATTGACTGTAGACCATAGTCCATTTCATATGACTTTAGCATAGCTATAACCAAAAAAGAAAAGAAAAGAAAAGAAAAGAAAAGAAACATGATTTATTGCTTTAAAGATCTGAGGAAATTTTAGACAAAACTTTTTTAATGGATTATTTTTTAAAATAGTGGAACTTATGCAATTCCAATCTTAATAGCCAGTCTCCTGCTTTACACATCCCCAAGAGAACTGACTCCATTTCTGTTCCAACTGTAATAGGAGACTATATTCACTCAGTAGTTGCTTGAGACAGATTTTGCTGCATATTTTAGCAGGCAAACCCTGATTCTTTACTGTTTAACTATCTTTGTTTAGGCAAAATAGCAGAATGACTTCACCAAGGATTTGACTGAAGGGAAAGCTATTATGCAAAGATTCTACCTCCTAATCTTTTTGGATATTGTGTGTGTGCATGTATGCGTGCACACATAAACACACAGGTGTTGGTCAGGTGCCTTCTCTCATGCAAGCTTCTGAATGATTGGGACTCTTAGCTGCACCGATGTCCCAAAGACAAGCATCTCTCTTCCTCACTTCCTTTCTGAAATTAGTTCCATTGTTTATACTGTGAATGGAAACATGAGAACGTATCTTTCTAAATACTAGCTTGATAGCTGATAAAAAAACAAATAGTAATTTTTTTTAATAAATGAATGGATAAATGAATGAATTTGAAAGGAAAGTACTGCATTTGTGATCCTGAAGCTAGCTAAGGACGTTATCACA